CTGTGTGCCCCTGTAGGAAATGTGTGATGGGGTCTTAATGCCACTTGTAGGACGTGTGTACTATAGTCTATGTGTCCATTGCATCAAGTATGCACTATGGTCTATATGCCCCTTGTAGGACGTCTGTACTATTTTCTGTATGTCCCTTTTAGGACGTCTGTACTACAGTCTGTATCTTCGTTGAAGCACGACTGTACTTTCGTGTACATGTCCTTCTCGCAATTCTATCTGTACTCCAATCGAGACGTTCCTTGTTGCACATCTATACCTTAATCAAGATGCATCTGTCCTGGTTACTTGTGTAAAAAAGGGTTCAGTCGGGTGACAATGTGTTTCGGGGATAATTATTAAATCAGTAATTTAACTGATAAGATTAACATTTTGCCAATCTCATGATGCCAATGTCATGTTGCATAGTAATCCATGGGTCGGAGATATATGCATAGTACAGTACGAAACGAGTTTCACGAGTGAGTTATTTTGTTTAGACATGTGAAAAATGCATCCGTTCTCCCGATTTCTGAAAATATTCAAGCAATCTAATAAAGTTCCAAATATATTTTATGTAGATTCTATGAAAATGATCTTCTGAACATTAGAAAGAAGGTTTAGTTCGTGTTTGACTATTTTTCGAATTTCGAGTTTGCCATTTTGTAATAACAATCCCTTTCATAACACTGTCCTTACCGACCATGGACACTCGTGGTGCTGGCTCAGTTGCCCAAATCTACCTCAATAAGTAAACATCTCGTGATTGTTTCAAATAACAGTCTTAATGAAAAGTATCCATGGCACCCTGTGTTTATAGTACCACGGCCACACTTAGTGACCTGACATGATCTCGCACAGCACATTCACACATAATGATAGGTCAGTCTCACCCCAATATCATTACATTAAAATCACACCTTTGGAATAAAATACAGAGGCCATTCCTTCTGGAATTATACAAAAAGGACTAGTATATAATACAACCTATTTACAGATAATATCTTAATATCGGTAATTAAAACATGTTCTCGTTCTTTGTAAAATAGATACCGGTAGATCACGATTGTATCAGCAAACTAGCGTATAAAGACAGGGTTAAATACAGTAAAACTCTAAATGTGAAAGACAATATTTTTAGCAATGTGTTCACCATGCACGAGAAATGAACAGTTTGGGTATATCATGTTAACCGTGAATACAAAAAATATATATACAGATGAGTTAATAATTGCAATATCATTAATTACAAATTAGAGGAAGACAGTCATTAAAAATGTATGAATTATTTAATTATTTACACACATTGCACTGTCTTCCCATCAAATTCAGCTCACTTGTAAGTATGGCAGTACAAAAGCGAACCGATACCCGTTTATTAATATGAACACGTAATTGTGTGAAATTGCACCAACAACTATAGGCACAGATAACAGGAATATTATGTCTTGTTATTTTCACGAGAAAATAAAATGCGCATGTTGGTCGCCGTATCTGCCACATAACATATCAAGGGACCGATGAAATAATGGAACGATCAACGTCTCAGCTGTTAATGTAAAACATGTACGGGCGTGTTTACGGTAAGGTGAACGAACACTTAGACAGTGTAAATGGGAAGCTTTAAGAAGTTTTAAGAAACAGCCGTCAGTCTGAGAAACACGAGATGTGTTTTCACTATTTCCACTGACCCTTAGCGCCTTGCCACAAACTTATGTCTGTTTTGACAATATTTGGAAATTCATGCAATTAATTAGTGTAAACAGCCCGAGCTAGTTTTCCTTGCTCTCACCGTTTTTCGTCATGGGTGAAATACAATCGGTTTACCTTATCCCTGCTTGCTTATGGCCAGCACTCGGCAGAAGGGAAAATTGCACAGACAGGCATTCTGTACTGGAAATATGGTCTTTCAATATTGCTAAGGATTTCCATGTTTACGCGTCGTTTACAATGTGCAACCCTTCCGTGGCTTAATGGCGAAACAGACATTTGGTGTAGTATAAACATGCTGTTCAAAAGGCTGTTTGACGGAACTGTGCAGCTTCTCGGCTGCGGCGTGGAGAGAAGATGACGCGATCAAGATTTCGAGATATGCTGTTCTTGTTTTACTTCTTCGATTAATGGCGCGTATCGGATTTGTATCTGATAGCGAATTAACAGGTCTAAGAAACTTGAGATCAAGTTAACAGAATTTCTCGTATAAGGCAAAACATCCCATAATGAATTGTTCACAGTCTTTTTCACCGTGAATGCATGTACCTCCAAGCAAATTAACTACAGGCGTGTAAACAACCTAATTGTGTTGTTAAAACGGATTTCAATCGGCCTGCCTAGTCAACTGCTTCGTGATATATGTTGAGTCAGAATGTATTCTGGAATATTAAACAACTGTCATTTTTAAAGCATTGCAATTTTAAATGTCACCATGTTACAATATGAATGTTATTTATGGAATCCGTTCTTTAATATGAAAAGATAACACTGCAAATGGCAAAACAGTTAAAAAGGTAAAATGATTTTGAAATTACAAATATAGTGGAGTAGATCTACTAGCATTCAGAATCCTTGGTGAATGCGTTCCTTCTATAGGAATTACTAAGCGTGTAGAAATCGTGACGTAAACGATCTAAATGTTTGGTAAATACCTTAAGGTTATTTCTCTGTATTGTCATCGTTCAAACTTGAAACAAAAGTTTTATGGTCCGTAACGGATAATTTAAGATTTCTACTTTGTCAAGCGCGAAAAAAACCCATGTCCATACGTATATGAGCATATGGTTGGGACAGAAAAATAACACATTTTGCGTAATTTGATTACGTTTGAAAAAAATACTAGAACAACCTTTAATGAGGACATTTTAGCAAGAAACTAACTTTTCTATTTATTTGATAAAACTTTCAAAGAATAACGAAAGCTAATCATTCGTCCACAAAACATATCTACGCGAAAGCTGTTTTTCCTCTTTGCCGATGCATGTGCCTTTTGATTTATGCCAAGACGAAAGTTGAAAATGTTATTGTGGAAATTATAAGTTTTCGTTTCTGCGAATTTAGTAGCTACGATTTAAAAATGTCTTCGCACATGTTAATAGGCAACAAAAGCCAGCAAATAGCTACACTGACAATCTCATACATATTTTCCATCAAAACCTAGTTTAGCGGTAATGTATAACATTATCCCAAATCCAAACTCTTCTTTTTTACAAAAACCCAACACGTTTTAGGCTGAAATATGCATTCATCGTAGTAACAATGTTCCATTTTGACTTTTACATTTTGATTTGTAAAGGTTGAACCCCAGATAATATTTTACTGGTGTAAAACTGTATAACATACAGTGTCTGTAGAAGGAACCACGTGAAAACATGCGAGGAAGTCTGGCTCCACGGTCCGCCACTGACCCGGTAACCTTCCGTGCAGATGGACCGCACTATCCCTGATGAGATATTTTAATGAAAATTTGGAAGTCAAGTGTTCTGTTTTCGGAGTGCTACGATAATGTATGTACAAAACAGAATATTCGTTACGTGATTGTATATCGCTGGCAGTTAGTGTTACAGTTTACAGTGTCAACAAACACAACGTTTAAGATAGATTCCCAGCACCGTGTGGTAAATGAATGAATGAAACAAATAAACATTAAAATGTGTATTTAAGAATGTATGCATACAAACCACAAATACTGAATGTAACTGGTGAAATGTATCAATATGGAACAACATGGTTGCCACAGTATGTGTTACCTGGTGAATATGATCATAACGATTTTGTTTGTCCCACTAATGGAATTAAATAAAAATATTACGTAAATAACAAATATTTAAATAGTTATAGAGAATCCGTTCTTAATACAGCAAGAGTCACTAACGATTATTTAAGTCTGTATTTGCAAGTCATTTGTATTAGGTCATGCGCTGAGGCTGATAAGAAGTGAGGATCTAGGATGCTAACTTGTCATGGTACATAAGTACATATGTACATGATAACCCTTTCCAGTCTTAGCAATAAACAGTACGAACAACAATGAATGTGACCGCTGTCAAAAACCCATTTTAGCAATACGGCTGCCGTTATTATCATTGTAGTGTTGGCCTCCCCAATCATGCAATCTGTAATTGTTAATACGGATCGCCTCCCCAACGATGCAACAATAAAGGCCCTAGCAAATATCACATCCGCACTTGAAAATAAATATATATAATCCCGCCATTAGAAAAACATCGATGGATTAACCGTTCCAGGAACTAAGAGTTTAGGTAACAGAGTTTAGGTTATTCACCTGATATTGAATTTACTGTTTATATTGAGTTTCTTCACTATCCAGTGTGTGATGATTTTTCAAAATTAGCTGCCAACCACCATATTCACAACAATGTCGACCTGATTCCGCATAGCTGATGATACTATACAGCTGATCTTTTTGTTCGTTCACATTACATAAGATTTTCCGATTACAGTTTCAACATCACTGATTCTGTGTTCAGCAGTTTAGTTAATGTCATTTTCGTAAGAGAACTCTAAGTTAATTCGTTATAGTATTGAATTAAGTGAGTATGGATTCAGCTGTTGGGAACAGTATCCTATACAGTTCCATCATGGCTACTCAGAAACTGCGTCATGATACCAGCGAAAATGCAAAGTTTCGTTCCCATCTATACAACTTCCTGTTAATTAACACAATTGCACTGGTCGACCTAATAAGTAAAGGTAAGGGACAATAGATTTGACAAAAAAGAAATTCTAAACCACATTTTGCCTCAACTCATTTCACACCACCCACATCCATCTTAAACTGTGAGCAAGTCCTCATGAAGAAATTGATCTGAAAGATAAGACCCCCCGCGGGGACTCCTTTAAAGATTTTCGCAAACTGAGCGGTCACATTAGTACGAAGAATTATGTTCAACTCATGTGCTCACCCCTCGGAATCCACCAATAGGACGCCCTGCGGTTTTCATTTAGATCCGACACATATCTCCGAGTGCCAAATTTATCATGAACAAACATCAGTCTTGGCAATAATATAATTATTTATTGACAAACTCAATTCAAAAGTTCTCCCTTGAAATATGTACCTGGTGGCGCTTGTAAAGAAAAGTATAACACCACTGCTTGTAATTTGTTATAAAACAGCGAAATGTATTAAGCATAAGAACCCTGTACCATCCGAGAAAAGATATATGTAATAAATGAAAATAACCCAGCCTTGCTATAGCCAGGATGTCGATTTCCCGGAGCAGTGTCCACACCGCAATTTGCCACAATCACACCTGCATACATTTGCTTCTTTCAAGACGTTTTGGACTTCGATCAACCAGATCCATGACAGGCACCGGTGTACCTGTATGTACAAGATCTCAGGCACGATGGAAATCACATCTTGGCTACCTGCAAGAAAAGAATAGTGATAAGAGAGAGGTGGAATATGTATTTATTATGCATTTGTTAATGTACATACATGTTCGAAGTATATTATCTGTAGAACATGTAATGTTATCATCAATGTTGACAGAATATATGAGTCATAATGTAGTATTTTCGAGTCAGTTCATTTAAAATTGAGCATATCTACACTAGGAACTCTGTGCTGATGTCTGCACATCAGATACTGGGGATTGTTATGTGTGATAAATCATATATGTGCTGGAGCTATATGCATATTACCAATTAAACGTTTATCAAATCATCATGGAACATAAACGTGCAAAGACCTTACTGTCTAAGATCCATAAAATGTTAAATTGGGGTCGACAAACAATATAATGTTATGTTGGGGTCGACAAACAATATATTATTTTCTCATAATTGTATGATGTGTCAATCAGTATAAGCATTGGTACGTCAAACATTCTTTGAAATATAAAGGACAATGTTAATCTATTCTCTGCATACTGATTGGAAAAATAGTTTAGTATCTTTTGATACCTGCTGTTGTTACGCGTGTGTTAAAACGAGTTATTCCAACAAAAAGATACATATCTGACACCAACATATGTAGGTATTCACGTTAGGATATAACTTAAGATTTACAGCGCACAGATCTACTGGAAAGATCCATCATTTTAAGAAAACCGCCCATCTGCGAAACCACATGTAAAAACACAAAAAAAGCCGATAATGTGGGTGTTTTTTCGTTGTTTAACAAGCACTAGCAATGTTAAAACAATATCGTAGCCATTAACATTACAAGCGTAGCAAAGCTTAGCTTGTAATAATAGCCCGTTGTCCAAACGATAATTGTTTTCCCGTATGTTAAAGAATATCAATCTCCTGTACTTCTTCATCCAGAACAAGGCACAATTCGTTATTTTGCTTTCTGAAACGAAAAATGCATCGAAATGCTCCTAAGAACTAAACTGTATTCGTAAATCTGTGGGCGCGTTTACTTGTTATAAAGGAATGTATCGGTGTTTTTCAATTAGGGCAATAAGTATCATCGTCCAGTGTGACAATGACTACCGCGTCCGTTACCAGTTTATGTTCGACTAACAAATCGGTATGTCTGTTAAGTCATGATCTTATTAATACCATACTCAAAAAGATCTCAATTTGTTTTTCCGTACACACGGGAATCACTATTGGTCCCGACTGCTTGTTACAAAATAAATTCCGAAATGTCTGTTTGTTGTTAAACGTTGCAATATTAAAGGTAAATGGAAGCGGTCTGAAATACTTGAATCCCAGACTGACTTCATGAGCATCAATATATATATATATACAGAACTGGGATGCAATCACATGCATCCACCAAGACGCGGACTCGGAACTCCCGATCCCGTCTGTAGCATCCTAATACGAACACGAGATGATGAAGATCAACTCTAACCCGGACGTTCATCGGGTTCTGAAATGTGTTTGTGATCGTCTTCGTACACTTTCATTCCTTTGACAAACACACACGTAAGTAAATACTATCACGGTGATATGTGTGAATTCAAAACGTTTACATCGTAAGTTGCTCTATGGCTGAAATAAAACCAGTGCAACACTACATTTTAAGCATCGATCTCGTCTTAAATTGTATTGTAATCTCAACCCTTCCTTCTAAGCTGTTGACGCTTTCCACGAACCTTATGTTACAGTTTGAGAAATCCGAAAAGCTGTAATTACCTAAGAGATGTTTTACTTTATCAAACCAAATATCATTGTGGATTTCTACAAACACATGAATTCTGCAACTGAGGAAGGAGAATGAATGAGTTATCATCACAGATGAAAACAGCGCTGGTTCCAACGTAAAGTTAGAAGGTATCGATTATGCAGTGGGACATCTCGAATTTCACAACAGAGTAGAACAAAACTTGCCCTTTTAATGAACACAACTTCCAACAACATAATCATGTTTTAGATAGCAACAATTATTTTGTAAAGCTTTCGTGAAACTCCTATAAGAATTTCAAATAGTTATAACATTGGCGTATTATAATAATGATAGGAAACCGCGGACAGTGGGTTGAAATTGTGTAGCCAGTGTGTTACGCATCGTTACGTGTCCTGCATCATACAAGATATGTTTATAGCTGTGTTAACATCAACGGTTACTGGCGTGACGGCATCGTTAGTTTCAAATGTCAAACAAGCAATAATTGTACTGTTACAGACAATTAAAACTTTATGGTATAACCCAAACAAGTCGCATCGTGGGTCATGTTTCGTTCTGTACAGTTCAACCTGTTCGTTCTCCCAGCACAGGCACAGAAAACATGCGTGTTTCGCGTTATCTCATTGGGAATCTAATTTCACGTGTCACAACCTCTGTCCACTTAATTTGACACTGAAGCTCATCTCATCATTTCAACCGAATTAAATACTTTTCCCCATTTTAAACATGTTCCCACACTAAGATCTGAGGCCTGGTCTACTGGGCCGTAGCTTCCCCACAAGGGAAGCATTACCGTGGAATATTACTCTGGGAAAAAGGGCAATGTTCCGAACCTTCAGAAGGCTGGAGGTTAGAATGGAATCATTTTTAGGGTATCTGAACGTGTCTATTCATTTTGCTCCGTCATGACCTGCGTAAATAAATGTTGATACACAGGTGTATTTTGTTCTTAATGGCAACAATTATGGGGGACATTTCAAAGATATTATAATGGTCACTGATGGAACTCACAAACAATAATTTAATTTAAACTTTCTTAACCTTATTTCTATGTTATTTGTTGTCATTTATTTTGGTAAACGTCTGGAATAAGGAACCAAGTTGTTGGTCGAGTGGCATTAAATTACAACATAAGAATATCATTTTGTTTTGATGAACACAAAATATGAGTGTTGCGCTCTTAATGTGTTATCACAAATGTGAAGTCGAAAGTATTTTTCTTGAAATAAAATACCGTGAATTCACTGGCAATGAGAAACAATTCGAGCAGATTGACATAAGCCTATTCTACTTGTATGCATTTGAGGAACACATTAAGTGGACTAATGCTATCTAAATAAACATCGCAATATTACAAAACATGGATAACAACAACTGATTTGCATTTATTTCCGTGGTTTGTTGCATGTTGATTCCAGTCAAGCAAATATCAACGCCGAAACAGATATAGCCTATATTTAATTTGCATTTGCATGGAAAATACGGACAAAATAATGCACAACAAATGTAAAGATATTTGCGTTCTGACGTGTTTCTGTATCAATGTTTTCAGCATCATATACATGTATAGCGGCATGTCACTCAGTCATTGAATGGTAGAATTGTTTGTTGTGTATATTTATTATGAATAAGGCTATTATTTGTGTTGGCAAACGTCTTGAAATATATGTATATGCTATTTTCCCTTTTTCGTGGTCTGGTGCTTTTCTCCCAATTAAATGTTAAAATAAGCTGGATCAGGTGAAATTTAGCTAACCTCGCCCGTTTCGGTCTTCCGGGACCCCAGAAAACGAACACCCCGGCGCGAATCTAACTAGCTGATAATTTTACAGCTCTGGATGAAAACAAAGACTTGTCGCAGTCAGAGTTTCCAAATATTTATGTTTGACGTTGCCGTAGTGTATTAAACCTTTGTCAAATAAATGTGCTGAGTAAATAACCTACTGGGGCTGGCTCACATGGAAAATAAGTATATAGTTGAGTAGGAATTATTCATGTGCTCAAAAAAACATTCTTACAGATTAGAATTAAGCATTGTCATAACTCAAAATATACTAGTATTGACTACAGATGTTCATTTGAATCAGTGTGATTTCAACGAAGTAAATGTAACACCTACCTGTCAGTCCAGTAAGTGTAATGCATAGGGCTGAAAGAAGACTCGCTTTGCTGCCTACAGGGAAAGGCAAAAGGTCCCGACGCCCCAGGAACAGAACTGTAGTCGTTGAACTGATGGGGATATGGCGACGGTGATGGCGATATTTGCATGCTCGATTGCATTCCAGGGTAGGCATTAATTGAGGATGGCACCCGTTGACATGACCCGTAATTATTTATTTGTGACATCCCAACATTTGATGAAGAATTCGGTGCAAAACTCCAAGGCGAATATTGTGAATACTGAGAATATGGAGGGCTGAAATAGTTTTTCGTCAGGGTAAGTTGATTAAAAGCGCAACTTGAGTCAGCGAAAAGAGGCTTTGGGAGCGATATTGCAGCACGATAGGGTCTTTTCATTCGCCGACGACGCCTGTAGTTCCCTTTCTCAAACATATCTTCAAATGCCGGATCCAAGGTCCAGTAATTACCTTTTCGCTCTCCACCACCCTCACGAGGCACTTTAACAAAACACTCATTCAAACTCAGATTATGTCGTATACTGTTTTGCCATCCCTTTTTGTTCCGTTCGTAGTATGGGAATTTGGAGATGATATACTGATAAATGCCACTGAGTGTCAATCTCTTTTCGCTCGAATCTTTAATTGCCATAGCAATCAGAGCTACATAGGAATATGGCGGTTTTTGATTTGGGTCGGAGTGATTTTCAGCATCTTTTGACATTTCAGATTTCGTATCTTTGCCATCAGTATTCTTCTTGTCAATGAAATCTTCTTGCAATTTTTCTGTTTTCACAATTTTGTTATCAATTTGTGAGTGATCGGTTTTCATTCCTAACCCCGCAACATAGTCGGAACTGACAGGAACTTTGTAATCCAGGTGGTCCATGTTGAATTGATTCAGTCTTGTCCAAATGACTGACTAATGACGGCGAGCTCCGATCTGACTAAATAGCTTGATTTATGACCTGCCGTGACACCTTACATGCACATCAGTTAGTTTACATGAGCTGCGAGGATTGTTTATATAACTTCGGCCCGAGTTATTTCACGTGGGTCCCAATGGCCAAAGCACTAGCCCTTTAGTCACTTTTCAACGCCTCCCATGGTGTAGTATATATCCATTTAGTGTCAGTCCCAACAGTGATGATATCTGGACAACTGCTTTCAGTTGAGTCCAGTGTGAGACTGTCGAACGTTCCAAACGGCAGAATAGTAAGTAGAGCTATGTTATCGTTTCTGTCGTGTCTCTCCGTCGTTTCCGGTAAACTTGAAACGAGTTTGACTTTCAGTTTTCGGATCAGTGCAAATTGCTATTTCTTACACGCATGGTGAAGAAAATGAAAACACTTCGCTGATAAATAGTCGCTTCGAACTTAAACTTCTCACTGGCAGAGGCTGGCAGCGGGAATTTCATTTACGGCAGTCAAAGGAATCTTGCTGTCAATCAAATTATTCCTTCAGTTTGTTTGGTCGTGCACGGGAGGCAGCAGCCAATTGAATTCTTGCGTCGACAGCGACATAGCTGAATCGCAATTAGCTGACGCTCCGCCCATTTGTCCTTAGCCAAACCCATCTGTAGAGTACAGAATACACACATCCGTTTATCAAGGTGGAGAAAGGATTACATGCCGGTCGACAAACTTTTGTCATACCTGTTTTGGATTTAGATTTAAAATATATAACACCTCCGTTCCACCGCCGACCAAATGTTTTTTTTAAATATTTGTTTTCCATTTCAATTAAATATCGCAGTAATAAAAACAACGTAGTAGAGACACAATGAAGATGCCCTGTAAGCTCTATAATATCATATGGAAAAGTTAATAGGGTACAATATTTTGTTGTTGTTTTTTCGAATCGATGAGATTATTGGTTCAATGTAATCCACTGTCACTAAAATGACACCGATGAACGCATACTCAGTAGTGGCGGATAGCAATACTAAGGAGTGTGTCATATATGTAGATGGTAACGCCCCAGAAAAACTGTATACTATCGAGGAACCAGTCAGAGCAGAGCAAAATGAAACAGTTTCCACCAAGGAATCATATTTCAGGTCGCTGTATGTCAATGAGAACGTTTCGATACGGATTCGTGTGCCGTTGTACATTCCGGCTTGACAACGGTACAAGAACCTGTATCGAAACTTCGCACTCATGAAATAAAAGAATTTGTTATCCATAAAATTTGTTCAATATAATCTGTTAAGCAATTTAGTAAATTAGTTGGTTTGGCACTTCTCAGACTGAGGCTATGCCTTAACTCAATGTTTTTATTTATACTTTTTCACATTTATAAGGCTATAATTTTTCTTCAAAACCAGATGCATGGGTCCGAGCCATATACTGTCGGGAACCATCGCTTGTATCGGGATTTAAGCCTCTGAACAAAACCATCCGCCATGAAATTTTGACAAACTGTTACAAATTTTGAATTTTAACAACTGAAAGAGCATTACAATCTATCTCGGAAGCTATTCAGGATTGTGCCCCATATAGCCTCCTTTCGATTCGTGCAGCTTCATGTAACACTGTTCAAACGCTGGTGGTCAAGGAGTACTTTAGTCATATATAACAGGAAAATAGGGACTGTTACTACAATTTTACTACTACAAGCCACTTAATTGAGGCATTTGTCTGAAATAGTAAATGTAGAGATGGAGCACGAATGTTTAGCAAGCTGTTTTCACATTTATTGAGAAATTATTGATATCTTCAATTGTTTTAAATATCTTTATTTTAAATATAACAATACTAATATATATCAATACTGTTATAATATATACTTAAATGATTGAAGATATCTGCATCTGATTTCTGATATCTAAAGCAGACTAAGTGATATCATTAAATGTTACAGAGATATCAAGGAACTATTTCGATATATCTCTAATAGTGCTTATATCAATACAACAATTGTCATCATATTGTATATAATCATATTAGAAATTAATTCAAGATTTCTGTAATTAAACATATTTGTAATTATCTCGAAATGTCGTTAAGCTATTATATCTGAATTAGAAGGATTCGACAATATCAGTAATTTACAAATACGTATGAAAAATGCATTCCCTGCGAATAGAGTAACACCTGCTTGACACAGGACGAGAGAACCCCCGCAAGACGTACAGGGATCCACCGTCGGGACATCCACATCAATTTTATTTAAGTTTCGGGGCGGTGGGGTAGTCTAGTGGTTAAAGCGTTTGCTCGTCACGCTGAAGATCTGGGCCATTCCCCACATGGGCACAATGTGTGAAGCCCACATCAGTTGTCACCCGCTGTAATATTGCAGGAATATTGCTAAAAGCGGCGTGAAGCAATCCTCACTCATTCACTTATTAAAGTTTCAATTCATATGCCATTTTGTTTGAAGAATTAAGGATGATTTAATAAAATGCTTATAAATGAACATTCAGTCACAAATACAACCGTTCGCTATTTTTATTTACTATTTTATTTTAAAAATGCGATGTTATCAATAAATAACAAAACGCGTGTGGCATGAAAATCAACTTGTGTAGCAGCATCTACAACCGGAACAGCATCATTCAGAAGAAATATTAATTAAGACGAAAGTGCTGACTGATCATTGGGCCCTGGAATACTTACACAGTGTATAAAACTATGAAGTCTACAGAATACAGTGGAGATATCACACATCTTCCAAAGAGTAGAACAAATACATCTGAGTGAGTGAGTTAATGAGTTTAGTTTTACGCCGCTTTTAGCAATATTCTAGCAATATGAAGACGGGGGACACCAGAAATGGGCTTCACACATTGTGCCTATGTGGTAAACCCGGATCTTCGGCATGACGAACGAACGCTTTAACCACTAGGCTGCCCCACCGCCCCTCGTAAAGAGATGGGGAATGCTTTAAGACCGGCACAGGCACAGGATAGGCACAGGCCCCAACCCCATCCCCCGAATATGAACATGTGTAATAACTGAATATCCTTGAATGTCTCATACCAACAGAATAAAAGGTGATGGTGAACAACACCGGTGTCCCGTTAGTCTGGATCATTATTTCCACAAAGTTATTAAATACGCTCCCACAAATTCCTATATTGCAAGTGATTTGCATCCCGGCCCGGAGCTCTCTTGCTTGTGAAGTGAAAGATTATGACATCTTCGTTATATACTTCAAACCAATAACTGTAGGTCAAGACTACGTTCACTGTTCGGAAAGAAAAGTTAACATACTACATGTATATACTAGACTCAAATATAACGGTAGTAACCTAATTATTGATCGATACTGAGTAACTGATCAAATTTCAAGTTCATGTAATGTTTCATGCGATAATATTTTTTTTCACTCATTACTCACGTATTAAATGTGAATATTAGCAGAACATAACTCCAGATTCAAAGACAGGTGAACAGTTAGTATTTTGTCAAGTCACCATGGGCAGCAATGCAGGCTTAAATGCGGCGGGGCATACTACTGATCAAAGAAGTTAGAAAGTCGTGGTCCATGCTGTCCCAATATCGGACCACCTCTTCTTTCATTTCAGCAATATTTGTCAGATTTTTCTTCTTGACACTTTCCTTCATAAGTCCCCAAACATTTTCTATTGGATTTAGGTCAGGGCTATAGCTTGGCCAATCTAATAACGTCATACTTTGGGTCCGAAACCAGGCCTGTGAATGCTTTGAACGATGTTTTGGGTCGTTGTCCTGCTGGAAAATCCAAAAATGTCCATAGAACACGTGAGCAGATGGAAGTAAATGTCCCTCGAGAATATCTGTGTACCGCTCACTGTTCATATTCCCTTCAAATACACAGAGGGGGGCGTTGCCCCTAACACAGATATGCCACCCCACACGTTAAATTTCGGACTGTACTTTGGGCGCTGATACAAAGGTGTTTCAGTTTGTTTGGTCCAGAATTTCAGTGTATTAGGAAACAGCCACACAGAACTTTCATCTGAGAAAATCACATTGTCCCAGTTCAAATTTCTATGCTGTAAGCACCAGTTCAACCTTTGCTCCTTTTGTTCAGGTTTCATGATCGGTGATGGAATTCCTCGAATTTTCTGCCAACCCATTACATGCAGCTCAGTTCTAATTGTCTCCTTACAGACAGCCACAGTTCCTCTATCAATCATATCCAGCCTTAAGTTTTCTAAACTCCTTCGTTTGTTTTTTAGAAACAAGAATACCAAGCCTCCTCCTGTCACCGACAGTCAATTTTCTGGGCCTAATCTGCGCCTCCCTGGTGCTCAATGCCATATCCATTTGCAATATTTTTCAAAACACGATAAACAGTGGACAAAGGGATGCCTGTTCTACTTGAAATCACTTTAGCTGATCTGATGTCCTTGTTATAATACTCTAAAATCAACTTCCACTTCTCTAAATCATCCATACTAAGGATCACTGAAAATGTCGTCTGCTAGCAAGTAAACAAAGGGGGATAACCCTTCACAAACTAATGAAAAAGGATTAACGGAGTTGTCTCTCTTGAATGAAACCAAACACTTGATAGCTGGTCAAGGTTGTTTATACTAGAAATCCAATTAAACATATTCCTAAAATTCTCAATAATTTCTGGTCATACTATCATTATGAAATGCACCACAGCCGAGCGACTCATATTGTAATGCTGTCATTATATGTTTGAACTTCCCCTTTTCTGACGCTAGTGGTGCTTTTATTATAATGCATTTATGTAGCACCATATAGTCACGCCCTTAGCTAAATCAATCGTGTTGTGGCCATCACATTGGTTGATAATATATCAATTCCCTCTGAACGTTATAAATATTTGCACATATTTGAAACTGATGTTACCAAGTCGCAGTTCATCGATATTAAGAGGAGGATCTCGAAGGTGGAACACTGTTATCTAACTGATGTTTGAACTGTTACATAATCCACAGAAATATAAGCATAGTAGCTGTTACACCCGACAGGAAGAAACCCGGTCATGACAGACCTTTGTATCAATAATCAATACTAGACTGCACACACTGTACCGTGTATTACATGTTTTCGGACCATTCCCAGACACCCGTGCATTGCCCGTGTTTTAGAGGCGATGTGACAGGTGCTTGTTTGACATTTCACGTGATATCCGTGCTGCACATGCGTCGATAAACATATCAACACCAACACTGAGAGCTATTGTCATTGACAATGCGCTTAGCCTTTGATTTGGGAACAATTTCAGTAAAATAAATTTCGTTATGTACACTGCTAAAACTGATCATGTCTTGATAATAGGCTACCATGATCGTACACGAACACGGAAGGTCTGACATGAGTTGATGGGCTTTCAAACTGAAGATGAGGACACAATGGAGAGTTGAAGAATAGCAAACAAGCAATCTTCTGTTTATTAAACGACGCCGGAACAGTTGTCAAAGTCTGTAATAATGACCTACATGTTT